TGATGATTTTTTTTTATCTTAAAATATATATATTATACTCTATTATATATTTTAAAATAAAAAAAATACATTTCAATAAAACGTTTACGATTTACCTTCTTTTTAAGAAAAATTATGTATATATACAGTAGCAGCCATAATATAAGTAACCGAAACAACAAAGACATAAATATATGTATTAATTAAAAAGTAATGCCTGATTAGCAATGAAATTTTTACCGAATAAAGATTAGGGTGTAATGCATAAATACTATACAAAGTTACAAAAATTTACATATAGTTGTTTTTTAAATAAAGATTAAATGGTACAAAGGAAATAAGCTACTGGACAAAAATTAAAGAACAATCTTGTTAATATATGATTGTGAACAAAATATCAACAAAATTTAATATTTGATAAACATCCCCTTATTTTCAATGACTTCTCTGCATCGTCGACCACATGATCTAATTAATTTCTTGCAAAAATTAGCAGTAATTCCCTTCCATTCGTCTTTCAATAACTCCCATAGGTGATCCTGGTTTTTTGGGTTTCTTTTCTAAGCCCTTTCTCCAATTATCTTCCAAACATTTTCTATTGGATTCAGGTCGGAGCTGATTCCTTCTTCAAATAAAGCCATAACCTTCTGAGCCTTATGGCAAGCTGCATTGTCCTGCATGAAAATAGGAAATTCATAAAGATTATGGTGTAATCTTGGTGCCATATGCTGCTGAAGAAGCCTTTTGTAAATCTCAGCATTGATATTGCCATGTACGCGGATGATAGGGCCAACTTCCGCAGATGAAATCATTCCCCACACCATCACACTGCCGCCACCAAACTTAACAGTTTTCTTGACATATTGAGAAGACAGTCTTTCACCTGTTCTACGGGGGAAGGGAGGTTTGCCCTCAGAACCAAATATAGTAAACTTGGACTCGTCACTGAAATGAACTGTATCCCATTGTGCGTCAGTCCAAACATGTTGTCTTGCATACTCCAGGCGTGCTATCGCTATCAAGAAAAAAAAAGTAAATTTCAAAAATTTCTGATATTGTTAATAGACCTATTAACAATATCAAAAATTTTCAGATATTTTAAAAATTTTGATTCTTTTGCGATATTGTTAATAGACCCAATATCAGAAATTTTTGAAATTTACGACAATTTTTCTTGATAGCGATAATGAGTTTTTTTTCTTCAAAAGAGAGCATTTTGCGTATAGAATTTGCCATATTGCTTAAAACTAAAATCCTCATAATAAATTAACTTTTACTTATTGTTGAAATGCTACATCGAGATTTTTAACAATGTAAATTAAAAGTTTATGCAAATTATAACATCGTTCCTTAACTTTTGTCTAGTAGCTTATTTCCTTTGTTCCATTTAAACTTTATTTAAAAAAAACACAACTATTATGTTAATTTTTGTAACTTTGTATAACATTTATGCATTACACCCTCATCTTTATTCGGGAAAAATTTCCTTGCTAATCATACATTACTTTTTAAGTAATACACATATTTATGTCTTTGTTGTTTCCGTTCCTTACATTATATGGCTACTGTATATATATATATATATATATATATATATATATATATATATGTGTGTGTGTGTGTGTGTGTGTGTGTGTGTGTGTATATATATATATATATGTGTGTGTATATATATATATCTGTGTGTGTTTGTTGTATGTATGTGTATGTGTATATATATATATATATATATATATATATATATATATATATATATATATATTTGTGTGTGTGTGTGTGTGCTGTCGATCCCAAGTAAAATTGAACAAACTCGTGTTATAGAAGAAAAAAGATTTCTTGTCGTCGATACAATTTTCTTTGCCGACAACAGTTTGTATATTCAAACTCTCTCCCTCTCTCTCAAACACACACACACACACACACACACACACACACACACACACACAAATACGTACACGTAGAGGTAGAATTGTTTTCTATAACCTTGATTCATTTAATTCTATTTACCGCCACAATTTCCAGTTTCATATTCCGAGATAAATCCATCCAAAACTGCTTCAATGTCTAACCCACTGTTCGAATATATATTTGTGTCTGTGTGTATGTGTATGTGAGTGTGTGTATGTGTGTGTGTGTGTATGGTTTGTGTGCAACGTATATTACACAAGATTTTTTTTAATTAGTAACGAAAATTATTGCTTATATTAATTAAAAATTTTGGAACGATATCAAATTGTCTATTTCTAAGTGCCGTAGCCAGTAGGTATTGTTAAATGTTTTCTTTTTTTTTTCATTCTAATGTATGATGACAAACAACTCAATTTCCTTATTCCTATTAATGAGACAACAATCTAAGAATTCAATTTAATTAGAGGTTCACTGCCCTAAGCAAAGTCTATAGCTTAGAAATGTCATAGCTTTTGGTAGTTGCAGCAAGTCTTAGTGAATACACTTTATAAGTACTCATAAACAATGACTTATATCAGAGAAAAAAAGCAGCTGCCATCGCCGTTGCATTATCAAGTGCCTGCTTAAGAAAATATTTTATATTTCGAAATTTGCAAGAATAATTGGATGGTAACGTGTAATGTATATACTTGTAGTATAATGTTTAGTTCCTCCAAATGATAATTTTGAATTCCCTTCGCTTGTATGAAATTATCCTTCGTGCAAATACCCACTGGTAATCTCCGGCGTATGTGTTGAATAGCAGCACAAATTGAGCCCTTTAGCTAGGGATTAATATGAATTCATAGATGCATGTTGTCCAGGCGAAGCACATATTCGATAATGGCATTATTAACAACAATACCAATGGCAATAAACTCAATAAAACAGGCATATGATGTCGTTTTTAAGAGATTTTTTTGTTGTTGCAAATAAGCGTCCACGGAGTCCAAGGGAGTTAACCAAAGATGGTAAAAATACGAATAAATACAGCGGATAAATTTGAAATTTTAAAATGATTATAACAGAGTGCGTTAACACGTGTTTACAAAATCACCGTCAAAGCGAATCACATTGACATTAACTTTGTCTTCGCAATTCACCACTGACGACTATCTCGGAGGAGATCGAAAGTACTTGGGTTAACAAAAACTACGGTGCCTTACTTGATGAATTTTAACTTAACATCAAGAAGATAATCAGGAAACTAGAAAGGATTATTATAATAATAATCAAACATAATATGTCTATGTTGTTCAATACACACACACACACACACAAACACACACACGCATATATATATATATATATATACTTAAATATATATATATATATACACTTAAATATATATATATATATATTTAAATATATATATATATATATATATACTCAAAATATATATATATATATATATATATATATATTTGACCTTATCAGTAGTAAATAGTCATATATATATATATATATATATATATATATATATGGCAGAATTAATAAGAAACAAATGTATTGATAAAATTACAATTACGGCTAAAACCTAAAATTAGCACGAGCTAAAAATATATGTTTTATATCTTTTTAAGCTTATGCTCAGTTTTGGTTTTAGCAGTAATTTTATCAATAAATTTGTACCCCATTAATTTCTCTTTAGACAGTTCAACCTGATGATCCCATGTGTTGAAACCTTGGTACATAGTACATGTTTCATTAGGATTTAATAATTTTATCTTTGCTCTATGTAATGTATTGAACACTCTTTGTTTTAACATATCATTCACTATTTTATTTGTTTTTCTTTTGTTTGTTTGTTTTTTGGGTTTTTTTTGTACAAGAAATTTTTACTTTTTGCCCCAAGCAAGGCGGGATTGCCACTAGAACGCAAAAGATGGGAGCAAGAGTAAAGAGGCGTGAAAGAGTAAAGGATGAAGAGAAGGACTGGCAAATAGATCAAAGCATCTGGAGATGGCGACTGACACTGCATTTGAATATTTGGACATTGTAGCTATCAGGGAATCAAGGAAGAGGAAGAAAGTTCCACAGAATGGAAACTCTTTGAGTAGAGGAGACGGCTACATTTAACCGTTTCTTCAGTGAAAAGGTGGGACTGAGACGCCGACCAGGTAGCACGTTTATTATTTAAGGAACTGGACGATTTCTGTCAACCTGTCTGGATGTTTTTGCTTCATTTTTTCCCATTTTTCCCCGGATGCCAATTCATTTGAAAGTTGTGCTAAACGGATTTTTTCACTCAGTTTAAATATGTTTACATTATCTAAAAATAAATACGCTTAAATTCTCCCCAGCCGTGCGTCAACGGCGTAGGGGTAAAATATCCGACTGACGCCAATTCAGCCAGGTTTCGATCCTAGCTAGAGGCAACCGGACGTGTAGGCATACTGATGAACTGTGATACAGCGGATGACGATATATATATATATATATATATAATGAGATTATTAATAACAATGACATATAATAATATCTACTAACTCCTTAACATCTAATACTCAAAACAATTTATCTAATCTTAATATCAAAATAAGTACAACCACATCCAAAACTATTATGGATATTATCACAAACAAGATTACCCAAGGCAATAATAATCTTGAAGCTGATAAATGTATAAATTGTCGAAAACTGCTCCTCACATTATATTAGGAAAACTTGCGGAAATTTAAAAAAATGAAAAAAACATAAAGGGATCTTGTAAACAACAATTCATCAAATGCGTTTTTCATATATAGAAATAAATTCAACAACAACTTCGATCTTAATAATGCTACACTTAATAGAGGAAGTAAGTTACCATAGTTGTCTTCCCACGGACCAGTTAAAAAAAAAAACAATAAGCCTCACTCTTTTTGTCGCCAGAGTTGTGTTATAGTTGAATAAATTTTAAAGTAAAGCTCATACCGCCTTTGTTTTTACAGTTTATTTAACTATACCTAAGTACATGTATCTGAAATCCGAGGGCTTCCATATTGATGCATCTGACCCTAACACGACTGACATGTGGGACCACTGGAAAAATTTATCAGACAGCTCTTTTTCAGTGTGAGAGACTTTATCTCTCACGAGAATATACGCAACACAGAAGTTAGCCCTAGTAAGTTATCCTGTCTCCATTCGTATTTATACAAATATTTCTTCCTGTCGGAATTATGAGACTGGCGTTGGCATTCTAGATAAGTGTTCGTCAAAAGGAAAACGCCGTTTTCGTTCGACACATTCTCTCGGCTAGAAGGTAACAACAGCACGAAGAAAAATGGGAAGGCGTTAAAGACACAAAGTCCGGGAAGGGGAGTCATTGATTATCGGATATCGTATCACCAAATAAGAGAAAAATTGCCCGAAAATAAATATTCAAACCAGGCATGGGCAAGCTTTTTCGATCCGTAGGCCGCATCGTCTATGGCTTGCCAGAAGGCGAGCTGTACTATTAAAAAAAAATTAAGAGTAATTTTTCGTCATAGGCACCCGAGCTATTTTCACTAAAGAAGATCATATGCGTAAGCATTTACCATAGAAATGGCAAAAATGTTTTATTTTTTAGAAAATATGTTTTTTATAATTAAAAATTGAAGTCTTGGTATAATATTATCACTGATCAAAGTGGGATTGTCTCTGTGTGGGATTATCGCTGCATGGGATTTATTTCTAATTTATTTATTTAAAAATGAAAACAATTCTCCTTTAGATAAAACAATTCTTCTGAACAACGTCTTTACAACCACAAAGAGACATGTTTCAAAAGCAAAAGATGTTTACACATACGATCTGACTTAATGAAATTTGCGAATGGTTTAAACTACCGCCACTTTTATTTACCCGAAAGAACAGAAAGTTTAATTGTAGTTAATTATTGTTTATATATGTGATTATGTATGAGAGACTATGTGAGTGATCATGTGAGAACGAAACAAAATAATATTTTAAGCATCGTTATATAGCTTATGAATTTAAGCCTGCCGTTGAGAAAGGGTAAACGTGCCTCATGTGGAACCTCAGGCCGAATTTTGCCAATTACTGCTTTAGACCTGACAACCTCTTATAACCAGACCTTTTTATTGGATACTAGCAGTAGAGCCCGGCGTTGCCCGGGGATGTAACAGTAAGAGATAGATCAAGTATCGACCATCATCAAGACAGAAAAATAAAATTGACAAAGATTATTGTTTAAGGTTGACGGACATGCATGTCTTAATTAGTTTTTTTTTTTTTTTTTTTTTTTTTTTTTTACGAATTGGTCAAAGCCAAACTCAAAGAAAAACATTGTTTTCAATCGTTATGAGTCTTCCGATTGAATAGAATTTTATTATAGACAATTGTCTTGTAAATGGAATTTTTAAAGCATTCTGAATGTAAAAAAAAAGAAAAAAGTGTGCAAGACAATAAAAACACTACCTGCCAAAAAAAGTGAAGTTTTGTTGAAATCGGTTGAAAAATGTAGGAAATCCGATCCCATATATAAACGAACACACACACACACACACACACACACACACACACACACACACACACACAACCAACCTGGGTTTTATAATAATTATAAATCGATATGAGTTGTCCCCCTTTCATTAATGCCTCTTAATCGTGTTTTCAAATTGATTTCGTGCAAAAACAATTGTTTTTTTCCAATTTTTGGCGCTAGGTAATTTTACGTAGTCCTATGAAGTTTTGTCGAAATCGGTTGAAAAATGTAGGAAATCCGATCCAATATATAAACGAACAGACACACACACACACAACCTCGGTTTTATAATAAGTATGATGACAGAGAAACAGTCTGTCTCTTACCTAAATCTGGAATCGTCGGTGCTACCTCCGTACTTCCTCTGGTTTGTAATGTTTCCACTGCTCTATGTACTTCATCTCTTGTGTGATGTCAACGAACACCCGTTGCCACTTTTATAATGTCAACGAATACTCGCTGTCACTTTCGTAATGCTCGTTGAAGCAGGTAATTTATAATCGCTGATACAACTATAGTAACGCTGTTGAATAATGCTGGTATCAGACGTCTTCGAATATCACTCGCACTAATAGTACTTGTTCGAAAATACTCGCTCGAAAAGTAACCACAAAATAGTGGTCCGAATAATAATCTGTATAGTGACCCGTACAGAGAAATAGTATAGAGAATAGCGATCCGTATAGTAATAGAGGATAGTGAAGAAATAGTGATCAAGTAGACGCTAATTCTTATATATACATTTCCTTTATCATCACGTGATCTACTTATTCAGAATGGGATCGCCCGTGTTTCCTCACTGGTGATCTATGTTCAAACTCCAGTATCGGCAGTGACACTTTATTCCTATATAATAATCGCTAGCTTAAAATACTGTCGTTCCTTGATCTCACAGTTCTAGTAGTCACTTGTGAGTAATTCGAAAAACCTATCACTGCTGCCTCAACTCGGCGCAAATGTTATTTTTGGAAATCTATTCTACTCCCGTTCATTCTGTCCTGTCCGAGAATCGACGTACCCTACGTGTGTGTGTGGGGGGGGGGGTAGTATTTTTATAAATTTTGAAGGTCCTTTTCTTTTCCCTGTTCAGCAGCTGAGTCGACCGTAGCAAGCAATAAATTAACAACTAGGCCATCTGAATCCACATTTTTTACCCGAGAGGATGTCGTGAGAAGTATGAGGTTCAACCACTTCAACACTGATGAGAGCCTCGAATACTTTGTCGAAAAGAGGTAAGATTATGGCGATTATTTGAAGGGTTGGGGT